AGGCCAAAGACTCCCTTTGTGTCCCTCCCATCACATACCTCTCCTTCCTGCCCAGAGGTGACCACTGTTGTAAGGCTGGTGTGTAGCCTCTGGATCTTTCTTTCTCTGCTACCAGGTCCTATCTACTCACCCAAGTCCTCCGCATTTTTTTAAGAGCAGGGTCAAAGTCCCAATCCTCCAGCTCATGATGATCTTTCTTGTGGAGGGCTGTTGCACTCAATTTTGGAGGATTTTCTAGGATTTGTCATTTATCATCTTAATCATTTATCAAACATGTGTTGAGCAGCCCCTACTCTGAGGCCGTGCTCTTCCATTCACTGGGGTTGAGAAAATGAGTTCCACATGGTCCCTGCCTCTGAGAGCTCATGGGCTGTGGCACATGGCTACAACATTCACACAGGACTTAGATCTCATATAAACCCTGGGGCCTTGCGACCAAAGACTGGAAGCAGAATAGGAGGTGAGGTAGAAGACCCATGACACGTCATGCCTTGAGTGGTGTTCTCTAAACATATCATCTGGTTTAAAGTTTCACCACCCAGGGAAATGAGTGTTACTACCTTCCTTTTAATAGATGTAAAATCATGGCTTGGAGAACCACCAAATTAGGAAGCACAGTTAGGAAATGCAGCTCATAAATGAATTAGGGCTTTCTAAAGCCACTATCTGTCTTTATTGGCTCCTTCTTTAGACCATGAACAACTTGAGGCAGAGACTGAGCCTAATTCATCTGTGGTTGCCAAGTGCAGCACCTTCACTTAGCAGATATTCGATGTATGAAAGTTTATGCTGCTGTCCATCTCTGGGGTACCGAGGAAACAAGGACACGGGGACCCTGCCTCCGAGGAACTTACCATTCAGATGAGAGGGCAGGGAAATACTGTCTAAATCCCTATCAGCCAACATGAGATTCCTACTCGGAATGGGAGATGGAATTATATTCTCTGTGCTGGTCTTGCCCTTAAAAAACACCAGGACAAAACACCCGAGACGCAGTGTGTGCTTAGGACCCCTGCATTGCATAGCCAGGCCGACTCTTCTCTCCCCAGGTCTGACATTCCTAGTTCCATCCCTGGCTTCTCCATCTACCCTCTGCTTTGTTACCCTTCCAACTTTGGGCTCAAACTTAACACCTTGGTTCTCAGCTGTCTTACCTCCCTTTGATGTTTCTGGCTATCTTGATGAAAATCTTGATGAAAATGCTCCAACTTGTGACACCCTATCAGCTGAACCAAACCTCGCTCCTTGGTTCTCCTTATTCCTTCCCTTTGCTACCTCCAAGGTCAGGAGGATGTGACTTCAGATGTATGCTATGCCCTAATGCCCCTTCCAGAACCAGAGTCTCTCCAAAACAGAATCTGAGGTAGGGGATCTTAACCTCTGAGTGGCGTGGACCACCTTGTCGGACTGGTGAAGCCCAGGACCCCTCCTCAAAGGAAACTAGTTATATTGAGATGACTTACCAATCAGGAGATAGATAGATAGATAGATGATGATAGATAGATAGATAACTGTATTCATTATCTATTGCTGCACAACAAAATTAGCATATTAGAGCAACAGACATCTATTATCTCACAGTTTCTGTGGGTCAGGGATCTGAGCGTGGCTTAGCTTGGGGCTTCTGGTTTAGGGTCTCTCCTGAGGCTGCAATGCAGGTATTGGCCAGGGTTGCAGTCTCTTAAGATTGGCTGGGGATGAAATTGCTTTCTAAGCTCACTCACATGGTTGTTGGCAGGATTTGGTTTTTCATGGGAGGTTGAACTGAGGGCCTTAATTCCTCACTGGTTGTTGGCCACAAGTCACCCTTAGTCCCTCTCCATAGAGCAGCTCACACATGGCAGCTGGCTTCATCAGAGTAAGCAGGAGAGAATGAAAGCAAGACAGAAGTCACTGTCTCTATAGTCTCATCTTGTGCATGACTTTTCCCTCTTGCCCTACTCTATGCATTAGAAGCAGGTCACTAGGTTCAGCTCACATTCACAGGAGAGGATTATCCAGGGTGTGAATACCAGGAGGTGGGGTCATTAAGGATCATCTCAGGGGCATGGCACGTGCTTATTTATGAAGGCATTAAATAAGGTCTAAGAGGTCCAATAAGTAGTGTAATTTTGAAGTAGACACAAACACCTGCAAAAGCTGATGCATGATATGAAGTTATCTGTGATTCCTGTTGATGATAAAGTCACAGATCTTATTAATATTGGGGTTTGTTGCCTACATTCACATGTGATAAAAATGCTGAATTTCAGTTAGAGATGGGTCAGAATAAAGGTGCATTTTTTCCACATCCAAGTTCACAGACCTCTGGAAATGTGTCCTCTAATCCTTGCAAAGTCCATGGACCCAAGTTAAGATCCCCTGCTCAAGAGAGGGAAGGCAGACAGAGATGGCTTATTGATTGATCACAGATGATATGGACCACCTACTCTAAGTAATTCAACCTCCTTGGAGCTAAAAGTTATTCTAAAAGGGTTTACACCCTGACCAGAAGTTAGTGGGGGCACTATGGTCCAGGTTCTGGGTCTCACCCTTACATATTTGTAAAGTCATTTTTTTGGTATATATCTTAAGGTGATCAGGATTTAAGATTAGACATATTAACAAGATTCATAAGAGGCTGATGTATAATACATATTTTACTCACTCCATCACTAGTGCATTTACTCATTCATACAGTCTTCCATTCTTTCAGCACACTTTGTTAAGCATACACTTATTGTTCACTACCATTGGCCAGGCATAGAGATATATGTTAGGGCCAGTGGTATCCAAGACATAATTTATGATATCCAGGAGCTCATTGTTGTTCACAGTGGTCTTTGTCTTCCCTTTCACACAGATGCATGTGTGACCTTGACTCTATAGAGAACCATTCTCTTCTGACTATTCCTGCACTTACCCTCTTCCACATAGAAACTTCCACAGTCTCAGAAGAATTGAAGGGGAAGCTTCTACCCTGGCTTCCTCCTTCACATGAAAGAATGGCTTTTCTGACTGGTGAGGCTCGGACCAGGGCCCCTGGCTAGCACTGACATGCTATGTCTTTTTCTCTCTCTTCCGAGTCACACATGTTCTTTCAGCTCTTACCTTTGCCATAAGTCAATCCACTGGAGCAGACCTCACCCTGAGGCAGAGTGAAGGAGGGGTAGGAAGGGTGAGAAAAAGAGGAGGAAGGCCTGAAGTTTATGGTTGCAATGGGGTGAGTGAGCTCCTCAGAAGAGGAAGGAACAGGAAGCCTATTCTGGACTCAATTCTAAGCCATGTTCTGTAGTCCATATTTACCACCATAAGGCGTATTGTCCATCCCTACCTCACTCCCAGGTCTGTGGCTCACCTATAGGTCAGCTGGAGGGGAGACAGGTATAATTATCACCAAACATTTTATCTCCTTCTGTGGCCATATCCAGGGCGCCACACATTTCACCATGCCCTAGCCACAGCTCATACTTATTTCTTGCATGCCAGAATGTCACTACTGAGGTCATAATTCATTTCAATAGGTCTTCACTCAATAAATAGGTATTAGGCATCTATTATGGGTCAAGCAATGGCAAGATGCTGGAGATGGAGCAAAATTAAGACAGAGCTCCTCCTCTCATGGCGCTTACCTTCGGGAGGACAGAGACATGGAATAAAGAAATAAACCAGGATCTTGGAAGTGCTTCGTAAGAAAAAGGCAGCAGGCTGGAGAGAGGATGACCAGGGACACTCATGTCTGACATAGTGGCCGGGGAAGGCCACTCTCTATGAAGGTGGTGTTGGACTGAGCTCTGTAGGGAGGAGAAGGGCAGGTGAGGATTGGCTGGAGAACACTTCAGGTAGACAGAACTGCATGGGCTCTGAGACTTGGCATGTCTGAAGAAAGAAAGAAGTTTGCATATTTTTACCCAATCTTGTTCAAAGAAAGATACATGTAATATTATGGGCTGTATGTACTAATGGTAGGAGTAAATACATAACTACTAAAATAAGTGTTCTTTCTGTATCTATGCTGTACTCATTTGCCTATCACACTCTGGGAAAACTAATCACTTATTTTCGACCCACACCTGAGAACTCAGAATGATTCTAGAGACTCAAATACTTACCAGCCTCAGTGCCTATCCTAGAACAGAGCTGGATAACTCCTGTCTCAGTCTCCTTATTATTCTAGAGTCTATGGACCCCTTCTCTATGCTGATTGACTTTATCTTCAGATGAATACCTTAGACTTTTAAGCAATCTGTTCATGCGGCTATTCCTTCATGCAACTTCATCCAAAGAGATTTCTGATTTCTGTAAAGCTCTAGGCCTTACCTTTGTCCGTGGGAAATCCTCAGCCCTTGAGGATCTCTGAAATATTATGAATATCCATCATTGTGCATTAAAATTTTCTTCTCTAGCTGTTTGTAAGATTCCACCCAGGGAACCAGGCATGCTAGCATTTCTTCCTCTTGTCCTTGTCTCTCACTGCCTCTGGGTCAAGCCACACTCCATCCAGTTGGCAGATCTTTACATCTCCGTCTCCCCCTAGGTTCCCTTTGGCCCCAAATGCTAATCGAAGAGCCCAGAAAGAGGACCTAAAAAGGGGGCTTCCTGGTGGGCATCAGTGAATCACTGGCAGAATCACAGTGCAGACAGGCCAAGAGGGGCCCTTCTCCCCATGTGATGAGTCACGAGTGGATGGTCACCCAGACAGAGGATGTGTCAGTCTCTCTCTTCCCTCTGCCTGGCCCCAGACATGAGACTATAGCCTCCATCTTCTTCCATCTGGGCCCATTAGAGACATTTGACCCGACTCTCTGAGAAATTTCAACCAATGAGGAGGGTAGGAAAACTCTGCTTTCTAGAAGGTTGAACTGCTGTTTAAATATTCTAACAGATACGCAAGATGGGTTCTGGCCAACAACCACCTAAGCCACGTCCTGGTGATTCAGGGACACTTTGTCCATGAATATATATGCTCTATTTTTCATCTGACTGTGTTCTCATCCTTAACATATCATTTCATTTGCCAGGGAACAATGCGAACAAATGAGGGCTACTTCCTACAAGGTGAAGAATAATAATGGCTTCTGTGAATTAAGCACCTGTTCTCCAAGGCACGAGGTAGCCGTGATCTTTTACTTTTACTTCTTTTACTTTCTAACATGGGTACTGTTCACACTGTGGTGTAGACTGTGAAACTGAGGCTTGGGGATCTTCAACAGACTCCAGGTTCTCATGGTAGGAGAGGGTAAAATGGAGTTTGGAAAAAAGTGGCCATGTAATTCATCATCCCAATCAGGGCACTTTGGAGAGTAAAGTGGGACTATTAGGACTTCTGCCAGACAACACATGTAAACGTTGAATGTTCCAGAAAGCGAGAATATACGGATGCCTGTATTTTGAGACAGGCTTTTTGGTTCCCAAACTCAGCTTTTCCCCACTCATCCTATTGATTCCTAGGGAAGTCACAGAAGAAATTGGAGTTTAGCTCCCCGTTCCTTTTGTAACAATTTTGCCTGATTCTTTTCCTTCTCTTCCCATCCTGGGATATTGGGATGAAGTCCAAACCTCTGTGCTTTTAAGAAGCCCTCTGGGTGATTCTGATGTGCTGCCAGGTGTGAGAACTCCTGAATTCAATGCTATGATCTTTGGGAACAGGAAGTCACTCTTGCTCACTATTGTATCTTAGTCCCTGACACAGAGACATGCAGTAGGCACTTAATAAGAGTTCAGTGAATGAATGAATCACTGAATGAGTGAAATAATGTACAGAGGTAAGCAGGGATAAGAGTCACTGTGTCGGGGTGTTGGATATAAATTAGTTTGGGATCTCCAGTGTAGAAAGAGAAATGAAGAAAAAGTAAACAGCAGGAGCATCTGCCAGGCTAAGCTTCATTCGCATCCTTAATGCAGAGCCCCCAAAGATTCTGAGCAGGAAAGTGACACTCTCTGGTTTGCATTTTGGAAAGAACACTCCCGTGGTGGTGTTCTAGGTTCATCCTGCAAGAAACTGGACCCTGAAGGTATTTGAAACATGTTTTCAAAGGGCTACTGAGTGCCCAGCATAATATAACCTTTTACATATTTGAGAAGTCTCCAGGCTGGGCTAGCACCACCCCTGCTCAGCTTCAGCCTCCGGACATGCCCTCTGTGCAACCAGTCACTCCAATGGGGCACCTGAGAGTCACTCTCTCAGGGGAATCGGTGGTCCCGGTGTGTTCACTAGCTTCTTCCCCAATACCAGTAGCTCCTCCCTGTGGGGGGCTTTGGGGGTGGGAGACTCCCACTTGGATTCAGGAAAATGGTCAGCCAAATCAGCCAAATTGGGTCCCTTCACAGGGAATTCTCCTCCCATCTTTTGCTCTCCGAGGGAGGCCATGGACACCGCATTGCAACTCTCCAGCTGGGGGCAGGGTACCTGAGGGGATTTCAGACGTGGTCGTTTGCTTTTTTCTCCAGAGCGGCGCTGTGGTTATTTTTGCTCCAGCAGAGCAGCCCAGGGGACCTTGCTGTTTGCAGCCCTGTGTCCTGGGGCTTCCCACAGAACTTAGCCCTGTCTGGCCTGCAGGCCACCAGGCGGTGTGAGATGAAAGACACTGTTCACGCTCACAGTGACTGGAATGCTCTCTCTGTAAAACCTGTGGATGTGGAGACCAATTCATAAGCACTTCTCAGTCCATCGATGAATGGTGGATCCCTGTGATTGACCCTTTAATTGGCTTCCTTCCAGGGACAGGCTTCTCCTTAGCCTGTTCTGAAACCTGGGCTGGGGGTGTTTCCAGGCTCAGCACTCAAGGGGGCCTGAACGTGTGCTCCTTTTTGTGGCCCTAACCTGCGTCCTGTCTACACCTCATCCCCTCCTACGCAGATCCTATCCTGTCTTCTAGCACCATCCACTGCTCCAAACCTGCCACTCCGGGCCTCACCTCGTGCCTCCAGCTGAATTCTGACTCATGCAGTCTCTACCTTTCCACGTTCTTTCCACAGGCATTTATGCACGATTTGCCAGGCCTTTCCCCACACTTTTCACAGGGATATTATCATTTAATCCTCAAGCTTTGTCAGCCCTCCCTGGCAGACTTCCACTTGGATCTCTTGGGCCGGAGTGAGTTATTCACAGCCCTAGCTGCAAGGAGGGCTGGGGACTCTGAGATGGGTTTCCCAGCTTCTGCATGGCAGGGGGCAATGGAGAAGAGGGAGGGAAGAGGCTTTAAAGCCATCAACTGGCGATGTTTGCTCTGCACCTACCACCTTCATCCCCATATCACAGATTAGGAAACCGAGTCATATGGAAGAGAAGTAACTTGCTCAAGATCACTCAGCTAGAAGGGATGCAGACATGGTTAAAATCCTAGGCTGACAGCGCCTGAGTCTACGCTTGGAACGGCCAGTTCTCCTGGGGAGATCTGCACAGGGAGAGGAGAAGGAGGTGGTCTTGTGGTATGTTAAGAGATAGAATGTCAAGATGATGGTCCCTTATCTCAGGGAAAGAATGGAACTGAGGATGAGTCTGGGACTCTGCCCAAAATAGACATAGTGGTGCATAACGCAGAAATAGAAATCATATTATAAAATTCTTAAGGGACTTTGCATATTGGCTCTAATTCCAATAACAAATTTGTATTATTATCTTCCTTTAAAATGAGATAACTGAGGCTCATGGAGGTTGTGTGATTTGCCCAGAGTCCCAGCTGGACACGACCGGGGTCTGTGTGGCTTCAGAGTCCAACAGATGACTTGCCGTCTCTCTGCACTGCCTACTTACAAGGAAAAACCAGAACAGGAAGCACTGGCCGGCTTCTGTGAATTGCATGTTGTTGGAATTCCTGTCCTTCCTCGACCCAGATTTGTAAACACAGGCTTTGGAAGCCAAAGTACACAGGGGCAGATGTGAAGAAGCTGTCCAGGCAGGGGAGAGTCACATGTGTCCTGGCGGGTGAGTCATGAAGCGTGTGTCCCCAGGGGCTCCTGCAGAGTCCCCGGCGGAGCTGCCCTGGGCCCGGTGGTCTGCAGATGTCACCGTGGGGGTCCAGCTGCAGCCCGGGCGGTCCGGCGGGTGGTGGAGGGCGAGGGCACTGAAGGGGCAGGGCCGCCAGCTGACAGACCTCCCTTTGCTTCTTCTAGGCTATTTGCTGAGTCCTTTTGAAGGGAAGCAGGGGCAGGGAATAAGAGAAGATACTTCTTATGGGAACTAGAAGGTCCCACTTTAAATAACGGCTGTTCATTTGCTCATTCATTCAAAACTACTGATGGAGCCCCTGCCATGGGTCTGTCCTAAGTGCTGGGGATGCGGCAGGGACTGAAGCCGAATCCTTACCCTCAGGGAGCTTCCTGTTTAGTGCATGGAAACAGACAATTGGGAAGGTGTGTGTAAGTGGATAGTAGATGCTATAGAAAAAAGGGGTGCCAGGTAAAGGGATGAAGATCGAACAGGCTGGGGAGACTTGTTTTTAGCAAGGACGGCCAGGGAAACTCCTCTGATGCAGTAACATGTGAGCAGGGGTCTGAACAAAGCAAAGGAATAGGCCGGGTGGACATCTGGGGCCCAGATGGTCTTGGCAAAGGGGCAGCAAGTTCAAATGCCCTGATAAAGGAACAGGATGGCTGTCTGGGGTGAGTGGGGAGCACAAAGAGTGGGGAGGGTCAGGAGACCAAGACAAATTCTTGAACCCCACCCTGGACCTACACAATCAGAATTCTCAAGCTGGGACCCAGTATTCTGTGTTTTTATAAGGCTTCCAGGTGACTCTGATGCTGGTTAAAGTCTGAGAAACCCTGTTCTAGGGCAGAGATCAGCAAACATTCTCTGTAAAGCCAGGTGGTAAACAGTGTAGGTTTTACAGATCATATGGTCCCTGTTGCAACCACCTGCCTCTGCTGGGTCCATGCCGGCTGCCATAGACAAAACAGAAATGGGTGGGTGTTGCTGAGTTCCAATAAAACTTATTTTATGTATTTGCCAACGTCTGTCCTCAGGGACTGGTTTGGTCAGCTGTTGCTGTGTAACAAATGATCCCAATACTTAATGACTTCAAATCACAGCCAGTTTTCCTGCTCAGATATCTGCAGGTTCACTGATTTAGCCTAGGATTGTCTGAGGGAAAAGGGGTAGAGACACACTATCTCTAGGGAGAATTACAGTCTCATGGCAGAGGGCATGGATACTGCCAAAAAGAGGGCTGAAGAATTGGGATCAATAACTCCATTTGTGGGGGGATTAAATAAAATAATATCTGTGAAGTGCCCAGGGGTATCTGGGCATGTGGTCAGTGCCTTGAAAGGCTGGCTAGTGTCATCACTACTGTTAGCATTATTAATAATTATTCCTTATTTAGTACAGATCAGGGCTGGCAATTGGATATAGAGGTCCATTATTTTTTGTTCAAATTCGAACTTTTTTTTTTTTTTTTTTTAGAGAGGGGGAAGTAGGGGAGAGGGAAAGAGAGAATATTTATTTATTTATTTATTTATTTATTTATTTATTTATTTATTTATTATTATGTTATGTTAATCCCCATACATTACATCATTAGTTTTAGATGTAGTGTTCCATGATTCATTGTTTGCATATAACACCCAGTGCTCCATGCAGAACGTGCCCTCTTTAATACCCATCACCAGGCTAACCCCTCCCCCCACCCCACTCCCCTCTAAAACCCTCAGTTTGTTTTTCAGAGTCTATAGTCGGGAGAGAGAGAATCTTAAGTAGGCTCCATGCCCAGCACAGAGCTTCACCTGGGGGTCCATCTCACAACCCTGAAATCATGACCTGAGCCGAAATCAAGAGTTGGATGCTTAACCGACTGAGCCACCCAGGCACCCCTGTAGAGGTCCATTCTTTGGAAAGGCTGTTATGGACATCCTCAGTGATACCCATCACTTACCATTAGCACTTATGACATTGGGTGTAGAGAGTTGTCAGTGTGAGGAGATGGCCGGTTGACAGAATAGCTTGTTCTTGGCCCTGGGAGGCTGTTTGCTCAAAGGAGGTGCTGGGACTGGCTTGTCACTTCATAATCAGGTGCTGCTCAACAAAAGGTTAAGTCATTTCCTGTAGCCCAGGTTCATTCAGTAGGAATTGAGAACTCAGACCCTGGTTTGAAAGAAGAAATGAGTTGCTTGATTGGAGCTCAAATAGCTGGATGCTCTTAATTAATGAGAGTATGTTTGGGGCATATGTGAAGGGGAAAAGGAAAATGAAAAAGCAAAGTGGTCTTGGAGATTTATTCTAACAAGAAATGGTTAACTTGCAGTGTGTCCTAGTCTCAGCACCACTTTGGTCCGACTCCTTCCCTAGTAGCTCCCACTTGGTCTCTGCAGATCATCTGCACCCAAATCACCTGGGGCATGAGCAACACATCCACATTCCTGGGGCCTAACTCTAAGTGATCCTGATTTGGGAGGAGAAGGAGGGATACTTCCGTTTCAAAAGCTTCTGGTGAGCAGTCCAATGAAGGTGGCTCTGGTCTCCCCACTTGTGCATTCACAGATATTTATCCCATTGCACAGAAGCCGGGGTTCCCACTCATAGCTGATTAGAACTGGGGAGTTCTGGATTCTGAGCTCTTACGGAGCAAAAGCTATGTCTTATTTGTATCCTGGGCAAGGTGCCCTGGAGGGGTGTGATGTTGAGTCCAGCATTTACAGGGCCCTCACTTTACAGGACAGGAGACGGAGGCCCAGGAAGGCCAAATGACTCACCCAGGGATGTGCCAGTGCCGTGTCCCCCACTTTATGCCCCCTGCCCCTTGGGGTTTGGCCCTTCCAAGCTTCCTCTTGGGAAGGGAACTCCCAAGTATGAAACACCTCTGACATGTTAGGCCTTGTGCTAGGTGTTTTAAACATGTGATTTCATTTTCTTCTTCAAGAAATAAAACTCGTTAAATTAGCATTATTAGCTCCACTTTATAGACGAGAAAATGTGCTGAAAGTCACACAGCTAACGAGTGAAGGAAGTAGAAGTCAAATCAAGGTTTGCTTGGTGGACAGAGTGATTGGAAGGGGGCATGAGGACGCTTCTGGGGTTCTGACAATGCTCTGATTCTTGATCTGGATACAGGTCACTTGGGAGAGGGGCTTCAGGGTGTGAAAATGCATCACTCTACACTTTGGCTTTGTGCATTCTTCAATGACAAGGTGGGAAAACCAATCTAGGTGTGTCTGGGTTGCAAACTCTTGCCATTTTGTTATGCCCTGCTGCCTCCTGCAATGAGATCTTGGCTCCTGCCCAGTCAACACATGGGGCATTTCCATGTGAAGACCTGAGTTAGAAATCAGGTCCAGGGTGCCTGAGTGGCTCAGTCAGTTAAGTGTCTGACTCCTGATCTCAGCTCAGGTCATGATCTCTGGGTCCTGAGATCGAGCCCCTGCATTGGGCTTCCCACTCAGCAGGGAGTCTGCTTGAGATTCTCTCTCTCCCTCTGTTCCTACCCCTGCTCACACACACACTCTCTCTAAAATAAATAAATAAAATCTTAAAAAGAAAAAAAGAAATCAGGTCCTTTCCTTCCTTCCTCCCTCCCTCCCTCTCTCTTTCTTTCTTCCCTTTTTCCTTCCTTCCTTTTTCTTTCTTTCTTTCTTTCTTTCTTTCTTTCTTTCTTCTTTCTTTCTTCTTTCTTTCTTTCTTTCTTTCTTTCTTTCTTTCTTTCTTTCTTTCTTTCTTTCTTCTTTCTTCTTTCTTTCTTTCTTTCCTTCTTTCTTCTTTCTTTCTTTCTTTCTTTCTTTCTTTCTTTCTTTCTTTCTTTCTTCTTTCTTTCTTCTTTCTTTCTTTCTTTCTTTCTTTCTTTCTTTCTTTCTTTCTTTCTTTCTTCTTTCTTCTTTCTTTCTTTCTTTCCTTCTTTCTTCTTTCTTTCTTTCTTTCTTTCTTTCTTTCTTTCTTTCTTTCTTTCTTCTTTCTTTCTTTCTTTCTTTCTTTCTTTCTTTCTTTCTTTCCTTCTTTCTTCTTTCTTTCTTTCTTTCTTTCTTTCTTTCTTTCTTTCTTTCTTTCTTTCTTTCTTTCTTCTTTCCTTTCTTTCTCTTGTTCTTACTTAACCAATCTGCTTTTCTTCTACATCAACTACCTCTAGGGAGGTCCCAGCAGATGCCAGAATGTGACTTTTCCTGGGATTACTGTTACAGGGCAAATGTGTCCTCTCAGAGCCCACTTTACACAAGACTGAGAAGCTTCCCATATCATTGACATGTACATCCCTCTGCCCCCAATTCCAGGGTTTTCTTGGAAAAAAAAAAAAAACCAACAACCAGCTTTATCTATGTCTAACTGTTATGTAATGAATTTCATATATTTACAACTTGATGAGCTTGGACTTGTAAGACACTAGGTACAGTGCCTGGCCCAAAATAGGCATTCATTTCATGACAGCTACCAGAACAGTGGGAATCATAATTCCCATCACACAGAGGCGTTGTAAGGATCAGTGGGAGACGTCACAGAGCCGGACCACAGAGCAGGCATTCAGTAAGTGGTTGTGACCCCCATAGCAGCTTCACCAACCACATACTCCAGCAAGAATGGAGGGTCTAAGATGCCACAGGGAATTCTTGGAAGGCAGGACCCAGAAATGGTGTTCACACATGGCAGGTAGGTAGCTGAGTCATGACAAGGAGCAGAGAAAGAAGAGATGAATTAGTGTCTTGTTGTGGGAGTGGGCACTTGGTCAGGTAGGGTTTGGACAGAGGAGTTCAGTGTTTTGATGGGGATGAAAGAGGAGGATATTCTGAGATGTAGGGAGGATGAGTATGTGTGTGTGTATGTGTAAAATAAAGCTCAATTCAGCATGTATTATAATGCTCTTATGGTGTGTCCATCCTTGTGCTAGACCCCCAAAGAAGGTAGAGGGAAGCATGATCCAGTGGAGAGCTGACCTATAGCCACACATCCCTTCTCAGAGCTCCACATATTAGCCTTTCAAAAGCACTTTCCTATACATTCTTCTG